TTATCATCTAACATCAGCGACATTCATCATATATTTTATTATGTATTTCTGGAAACACACAATTTCAAAAATATCACACACGTCATCATTTTGTAAATATGTATTATAATTCCATCTGTACTGAAAATCACTATTCCAGAGTGCTGGACACTTACCGGCATTTCTCTATATTCTGTTATTATTTGTTTTCATTAATTTTGCTCCGATTTTATCTATGTTTAGTTTATTTATTTTATTGACATTTGTGTCAACTTAATGTTTTTTATCCGTTGCCATGGCTAAAAGTGAAAGGTGCGCAGATGAGGTTGCGCACAAAAACGTAACGAGGTCATTAATGTCATTCATCGATAGATTTTACTCCTCACATTAGTCTCATACCGGGCCCCTTATATATGCAAATCGATTCTTAAGGAGTAAACTCCAATAAATAAATTTATAAGGAATTGAAAGGTCAAGTTTACAAATAGCAAATACGAAATAGCAAAGTGAAATGCCGGCATTAAAAAATACAAACGGCCGTTTTACAACTAACCGCTTCTTTTCGCAATCTTACTGAGACGATCGGCGTTGTCGCAAAAGTCCTATCTTTATTCAGTAACATTGACAAATTTTATGTCACTGCCGTGGTATAAGCATGACCACCGCGATATAATATATTTCTCGTTTTTATCACGCTCAACAGACAAATTACTACGAAGTTTGACAGTTAGACGCGATAAAAAACGTGATAAAACGTAAATTGAGGTGCTCATGCTACGGGGACTGGAGTTGGTTCGTACGGGAGAACATACAAAACACATATAGATAAAATATATAGACCATAAATAAAATATTTCAAGTGTATTTTGAGTAAACAACAAATAATTTGAAATAATGAGAATGAAGAAAATATATTTTAATTTTGTAAAGTAATGAGTATAAACAATAAGACAAGGTTGCAAATAATAAATGATGAAAATTGTTATGTTGTTGGTCAGCTTTTAATTACCCTCAGTCCCCACGTGTGCCTTGACCCAAATTGGGTCACCCAATACAAATCCACACGTTTGTTTTGATTCAAGGCCTTTCTGATGTTCTCCCTAGTTCGACTGCTAGAGGATGGAGGGTCGTGGTGTTAGTTACTATTTGGAGGGCCGCCATGGAGTCGCTGTAATTTCCAAAAGTACTCTTTCTATGTCTAAAGCTTTCCGTGGAAGCTCTTTGGATGGCCAGGAGCTCAGCCTAGTACACCGTGCAGTAATAAGGCATGCAAGCTTAGGTCACTGTTTCGGACTCTCCGTTCCAAATGGACCGACGCTCAATCTTGCTTCCATCTTATCTTTATATATATAATTCTTCTGTGAGTGTGTATGTCACTGAACTTATCTTAAACGACTGGACCGATTTTGATGAAATTTTTTGTGTGTGTTCAAGGGGATCTGAGAATGGTTTAGATTCACAATTTTGTCCGCTGGACAACCCCTATTTTTTTAGGGCGGTACGAAGTTCGCTGGGTCAGCTAGTATAATATATATTTTGGCTGAAGGCTCGATGTTCTCCCTCAGCTCTAGGTTTCCAAAAATTCTGAACTTCAGACTTTCCTCTTTCGCGGGATGTGGCAGTTTGAGAGCCGAAAAAGGTATTTCCACTTAACTGTCCTTGAGGTCAGGCAGAGGCACACCCTTCCTAGCCTCGTATTGGGCTTCTTTGAGCCTCAGGTCCAGGGGTAGGGTCCCGCTCAAAATTAGGGCAGCGTCCAAGGAAACCGTTCTATACGCCCTGCACAATTTTTGAGCGAAACCACGTTAAAGTGCTTTTAAGGGTTTATGGTTGTGATTTTTTCCACTGCGGGAGACAAGGCGGCTGCGGCATACAGAACAACGGGCACCACTGCGGCTATTTAAATTATCCTTACTACTTCATATAAACTGCTATAAACTATACTCCTATATTTATACATCACTATAAAAAAATCTTAGAAAATGTAAATGCATGGCCACGATTCTCGGGGAAAATGAGTGTATTGCGATTTTCGGGAAAACTACAACTCCTACCATAATTTAATAGCAAAAATGTAGATAATTAAAAGGTCTACAAATTGACATTTTAAAAAAAATCACATACTAATCTAAAAATATCTGCGCTTTTCTCCCATATTTTTTTTCACGTAATTTGGTGAAATCTTACTTTCTTATCAAATCTAATTTAATTTTAACTATGTTTTGTATGTGTTATATTTAAATAAGCTCTATTTTTTTCCTTACATTCTTCATGCATTGCATATTCTAAGAAAGTTTTCCATAGTCATGTACATTTTTTGTATGAGTACCAAAAAACAAAAAACACACCAAACTAATTTGAAAATCTACTTTTCTGACGGGAAATTTGAAAATAAGGTTATTTTTTCGAAATAATATCAATATAAGGAGAAAAAATAAATATATTTAGAATCGAATAAATAGAGCGTGTACATATAACAAGGATTACTTTTTACCAAAATTCGTTAAAAAAAAGTTTTTTGTGTGAGATAATAACAAAAAACCCAAAAAGTCAGCTATTTTTTTGACTACCAATATTTTTACCCATATATAAATGATATGTTTTTGTCGTTGAAATTGTTTTAGAAATAAGTTGTAATTTACCCGAAAACCGCGATAAATCATTCCTCCGCCCCCTTAAAAGGACACACCCCCACCCTTCCTTAGCTCATAATTTAGTTTTCCATTTTTTTATGTATTTCTTCCTTTTGGCATGGGTTTTATCCTCTTCCGATTTTTTGTGCTCTCAAAATTATCGATCCCCCCCTAGCATGAGCACCATAATTTACATTATATCGCGTTTTTATCGCCCCGTGTCAAACTCTATAGTAATTTGACAATTGAACGTGATAAAAAACAAGCTATTTATCATAACGCGATGCTTATAAGTACTAGAGGTAGGTACATGCCTACTTGTCTCTTAGTGTCGATCACAACAAAGAAAAATAGTTAAGTATAACGACTATCTATATTTTTTCCATAAATATCTATATTTTTATTATGTTGGTGTCGTACTATCAAAAACACAACTGAAGAAAGTCAATTCCATCGGCACTTAGATCCTAGATGGCCTTGAATAGAACAGTGATTCAAATACTGAAGTTACATAACAATTAAGTATTAAATGAAATTTTCTACTTACATTACCTAAATGAGCGAAATGACTTACAATCACAGAACAGTTGCATCAGCTATATAGTCCACTTCTGCAAAATATTTAATCATCATATATTATTGCGTGAACATATTTGAAAGTTAAAGTTTATCAAAGTTTATTTTAGCCAGGTTGTTAAACGCCGCCGTTAATGTTTTGCTAACGGGAATTATTTATACATTTATGTAGGTATGTGGTACTTAGGTAAAATTCCTTAACACTCAATGTCGTTAAAGTTGACAGTAATTTTTATCTATTGTAAGCTAAAAAACTAGGTTGGAGGAATGTTTGAAATCACGTGGGAGCATAGGGAATACTGAAACCTTTAGTTTGGAATGGTATAGCCTTTACAAAGTACTTCATATTTGTCGTCGCTGCATTGCTTAATAGCTGTGCCCCGCGGTGTTACCCGTGGCTTATTAGGGATATTTTCCCGCAGTAAAACGTAGCCTATGTGTTAATCCAGGGTGTAGCAACTTATTAAAATCGCTCCGGCCGTTTAGATGTGAAGAAGCAACAAACATACACACTCACACACTTTCGCCCTTATTATATTAATATGATGTGTTTGTCTTCCCCCAACATTTCTCGAAGCCATCACTGAACAATAATACTTACTACTTAACAGATATTTCAGACAGTAATCCATTGGTCTTCTTTTTCCCGGATTACATAGCTAACTCTATTTGAAATCACACAACACACACCACGATATTAAAGAATAGAACTATCTAGATAGAACGGTTACTTACTACGTGCAATTAAAAATTTGTATTTTTTTTTTGCAAACGAAAGGAAATTACCTTCTCAAACGTTGAATTCAATACAGAAAACCGAACCCACATAACGCATTAATGTATGTTTTCTTATTACCAACTGAATAAATCTGTAAATACTTATTACTTAAAGCTAGATAGGTTTTTCGGGTCATTATCAAGTCAAAAACACGCAATTACTGTGTTTTTCTATAAATCTTATGATTTATTTTAATACGCGCCACTATCATAATAATTTAAACTTAGTCCAAGAGCTAAATAACATGTTTGGAAATCTTATATTATATCATATTACTTCGAGATTTGCTACAAACGCGCATCAACACTTAAAAGTTTCTAGAACTTGCCATTTACTTCAAAAATTATTAAAAAATACTGAAATGAATTGCTTTGGATTTCAATCCGTTTCAGTGGTTCACGTTTGTTTCAACTCTCTCTTATCGCCATTTTAAATATTTCGATACCATGGATTTCCCTCGTAAAAGTTTTCGTAGTCTTACTAATTATACCTACTTTATTATAAATGTAGTTTGCCATTTCAGCCGAGCGTTGCTTGTTTCTTTATGTGAAATCAAAAAGGATTAATTTAATCTAAGAAAGTAAGACGATGGGAAAAATAATTATCTATAAGGGGACGGTGAAAATTTGGTCACCGACGCGGTTTCGAATCTCGTCTGAAACGTGAACCGAATGGATTTTTTTGTAGTAAAATTTTCTTTAAATTCAAACATCTAGCATCTACATTTGCTAGGTATTCTTTCAAATCTTTAATACTTTTGAAATAAGCACTGAGGCGTCGAAATGTATTAAATTATTTTTTTGTTTTAATAACCTCATGCAAGAGGAGGAATATTTGCATCCCAGCTTCTGAGTATGATAATGACTAGAATAATACTAACACGACGATAATTTATAGTGATCTATAAGTAATATGTATTGAGCGACTGATCTTCATTCTAACTTGATCTTTTTAGCTCGCAAGTTGTTGTGATTGCCTCAGTTCATTCTGTATTTGAGTTTTTTTCAATATATTTTTGTTATATATTGTGAACGTGAAAGTGTATGGTAAATTTGCAAAACTAAAAAGGAATAAGTTACGCCAAGCTATACCAATAAAGTAAGTGGGTAACCTTAAAAGTAGAAAAGTTAACTAGTTGGTTTATGTCATGGGTATGGGTGAACATAATGAGTCGTCTTTTAATTATTTGTAAAATACTATCATTTTTATTTTAAAACATCAAACTGCTAGATTTATAAATGCAAAGAAAAATTTACTACCTACTAATAAATCCACACAGGATTCAAACCTGCACCTTCCGCTAGCCGGGTGGACGTACTAACCAAATTATGCTACCGAGAATTATTGAATACCCGTGTAAAATTCCTACTAGTATTTCTTAACCTAATATAAATACAAAATTTTCTTTAGATTTACTTGTACCTACTTAATTACAAGTAATAGAAAGATTGAGAGTTAAATATTCATCTATGTAGTTTAAGTTCTCATCCTCGAAGTCACAGGTTGTATTCTCAATAGACTTTTGCTTTGCTATTTATTCATTTTAAATAGGTAGTGCCTAAACTGGCTATAATAATAAATATGTTATTTATATTTTGTTTATGACATACCTACATGTCATAAAAAAATATAAATATGTTGCCAGTTTCATGTGAGATTTGCAAAAATAACTAAGCATGCTATATTAAATCAGAAATTATAATATTTATAAACAATGTGAAGTGTAGCTCTTTGAAAAAGGTACAAAAATCTATCGAAAATTTTACTAGAATAAAAAAACAGTCACCAGACAGGGTCCTGTCATAAAATAGCATAAAATATAACATAATAAACTATAAGTACATATTTTACTGATGTCATTATCGATTCATAATATGTACTGGTTTTAATATATTAATTTCGCTATTGTAGATTGTGAAGTTTTGTTTGTCATGCGTCAAACTGGTTAATTGGAATGGAAAATTTATAATAAACGATATTTCGATCAAGAGTTTTTATATCAGGTTTAAGTGGAGTTCTAGTCCCGAATATATCTGTTGTGGCAGTTCAGTTATGACGTTCCTAAGAACTACACCCTACCCCGTGGAAATGATTCAATGTGAAATGATTTCTTAGTCAGCTGGAGGTTCTTCGTTTGATGGGCGCTCTATTTTGAGCTCTCTCTCTTCTCTTTTAAATACTGTAATAAAACTGAAGAACTGTCCACATATAAGCTTATCGAGAGATATCAATTAGAAACATTACGCGAGTAATAGGTACTACAAAAAACAATGGTTATGCCCCCTACAACTGTTCATCTTGCATATCAATGATGTACCCTTAGCACGAACCAATATCAAATTCGTAACGTTTGCGAGTACGAAATGTCTGGCAAATGTATACTAATTTTTGGTTCTCGTTACGTCCTTTTTGGCGCTGCTGTTCAAGTTTCCATACAAAATTTGACAGTGACATTTCGGATTCGCAAACTATTCGAATTCGATTTTGGTGGTTGGTGCTAGGGATACTGTTATATTGTAATTACATAACAACAATATTTATTGCTATGCGGATGACAGCACTTTTTTTACTGAACCGCCAAATATCCTTCGGATGGAAGTACAGTCAAACTTGTGCGTCACTGGGCCAGTCTCAAATTGGGGCCGTCACAATTTTGTCCGATTTAACCCGACAAAGACACAAGTGTGTGCTTTAACCGCGAAGAAATCCCGATTCGTAGCAGCACCTTACTACTAAGTAGCGGCGTAATTATTCTAAGGCCAAGAGGGCCATGGCACGGGGCGGTAGCCTGCGAAGGGCGGCTTCAAGATCTGCGAGGTGCAGCAGCAACCATACAAAGGCACTTTGTTAAAACTACAAATAGTTGACAATGATAATCAAATAATGGCCGATAAAATAAATTTATCTACACTTCAATTTAAGTTATATTTCATATACTTACCTGCTGTGTATTTAAATGTTTCTGCTATTCTCGCTCTAATCATTTAAATTTCGCGGTAATAATAACGTGTTATCCTTTTCAGGTTATACAAAATCAAAACATAGAATTTTGACCAATAGAATCACACGTTGCAGAGACTTGTCAAAAGTTAGTCCCTCGTGATTGGCTTAAAATAGTGGATCTGTCGTACTTCAACGGCCTTATAAATATCAGCGCGAACTCACGCCGGACCTCTTTTCCACAGTGATAATTCAGGGGGATTCTTAGCGGGTTATTTTAGTGAGCTAACTCTAAATTCAGAATGCCGGAGACATCAAAAATGAATGGATATGCAAAAACAAATGGACACAGTTTTGATATGGAAGATGGATCGGTGTTTTTATTCACATCAGAATCTGTCGGCGAGGGACATCCAGGTTAGTTTTTCCTCTAATCTTTATTGGAGCAGAAGGTGTGCGATGCGAAAAATGGCCGCCTCCGACATGTGCGTAGATAAAAAACCAATACAAGACCTTGAAACCAATCGAAAATTTTACTTTATAGCCTTCAAAATCTTTGCAAACCTAACTTAAGTGATAAAGTAATATCATATAACTCTACTTCATCAACTCCTTAATTTATTGTTTTGAAGTCCTTTCAAAAGTCCTGACAAATCAAAATAATTACCTACACGTGGTTTTAGCCTGTTATGATGAAATATTCGCTCTGTTATTGCACAGCAAAAGCGTATGTTATTGAGATCCATCATCTGTTTTTATTTCAGACAAAATGTGTGATCAAATAAGTGATGCTATACTGGACGCACATCTTAGACAAGATCCCGATGCTAAAGTAGCATGCGGTAAGTTTAAACAATTTGTTTTCTCTCATCAAAAGTACTTGCCTATCTCTGTCAATGTTCATAAGTCCAGTCAGTTATGTAGTTTATAATGAAAATGTTTGGTGCCCCTTCACAGAAACCGTGACAAAAACAGGAATGGTCCTGTTATGCGGTGAAATTACTTCCAAAGCAAATGTTGACTATCAGAAAGTTGTTAGAGAGACTGTCAAACATATTGGTTATGATGACTCTTCCAAAGGTAAGTTTACATCATTGAAATCACCAATTGTTACCTATACTATTGGCTAACCGCCAAATGCTGGGACTGGTGTTACACATCTTAAGATATGTAACTCTTGTAGTAATTTATGAAATATTGTTCCATACGCACTAGGTTTTGATTGGCGTACACTAAACTTGTTAGTGGCAATTGAAGAACAAAGTCCAAACATAGCTGATGGGGTGTACCAAGAACGGAGTGAGATAGAAATTGGGGCCGGAGACCAGGTATATTTGAAAAAAAAAGTCCGAATGGATTGCACGAAAACAACAATTATGGGTTCAACAATTAAAATATTCTTACTGTGCATGTTAATTCAATTATCACACTAAAAGGGATCACCAACAATTCCATTAAATGGTCTCCATATCAGAAACATTTCTCAGGGTTTTAAAATGGCTTTGTTTAGGTTTCATAATTTAAAATGACTTTGTCAAGCAGAGACAAAGTAAAGTTAAGGTCATGTATAAGTCATTTGTTATGTATTAACAATTAAGCATATTGGGCCAGGGTTTGATTACAAGACATGCAGTGTGATACTTGCGCTAGACCAGCAGTCACCGAACATTGCCGCTGGAGTGCATGAAAACAGGAATGATGAGGAAGTAGGAGCTGGAGATCAGGTATGGTCTCATATTTTCTGTTAATGATTTTTCAATATTGAATTGTCTAACATACACTTGGGTTTTTTTGTTTGGTTAAAAATCTGTATAGCATGTTTTAGATATTTTCGGAACAATAACATAAGTTATAATTTTTTGTGCAAAAGGCTGATAAAATGTCAATGGATTCATATAACAGCTCATATAACGTAATAACATTTGATTTCCATTAATATACTTTAATTTTACATTTGCACATTGTCCATTCAATATTTCATACTACATTGCCATTCTGGATTAAATTAAAAATTATTACTTCGCAGCAACTTGAGGCTGAACAGACTATTTAATTCTAAATTAAATAATTTTTAATTTTTGTACAGGGATTGATGTTTGGTTATGCTACTGATGAAACAGAAGAATGTATGCCCCTGACAGTGGTGCTTGCACACAGGCTGAATCAAAAAATTGCCGAATTAAGACGAAATGGCGAATTTTGGTGGGCCCGCCCAGACTCCAAAACACAGGTAAGAATATTTAATATTCAGTGATATTTCATGAAGTATTTTAAACACAACTAGTATTAGTTAGCTTTTAGAAACAAATTTGAAAAATATCAAGATAAGTTTGCAACTAGAATCAATTTCTTTATTTCATTATTGGTTACTTTTATAAGATGTCTTATCACATTTTATCTTTAGGTCACAACCCCAATGGTATCATTTACGAGTCATTCTTACATATTTAGTCTTATCAATTATGTTTTGCTGATATCAATTAAATTTATAAATACATGATCATTGCATGTAAAAAAATATGATATACTTTTTTAGAAATTACATAATCATTCAGATAAATATATCTCGTATAATATTCTTTAAATGCACCATTATTTTGGGCTCAATTTTTGAGTCTCAGTTCCCACAGTATATTCTTTGTCAGGTGCAATATCACATATCAAATGTTTCATGTAACCTTATCTTCAGCTGAATTAGTAATGATAAAATTCTTTTACTTGTCAATGTTACTTGAGAACCCAAATTGCATGTTTGATTAAAGACAACTTCTATTTCATTATCCTTAACTTTTTACTTTGAAAGCAAAGTATTGAGACTTAATTTGGAAATATTTGGATAAGTAGTAAGGTTTTGGCTTAGAGCTATTCTTATCATTTATATACGATAAAGGGTTATTGACATAATAATAAGAGTTACCTAAAACATGCATACATTAGTATTTATAAAGACAAAACAAAGTCATAAGGGTAAAATAATTTACACTACAATGAATTCTACATTATTGTAAATTTTGTGCTAATGTTTAGGTAGGTACACCAATTGTAATGTCTGATTGCACAATAAAATCAAGGATGTTGGTGATTCATAGGGAAGTTCTCGATGTGGTCATGTTGAGATATTCTCTTTTCACATATTAAATATGATACATTATGCTTCCTTCCTTTGGTTTAATATCTATCTATATCTTATTATGGTTAGGTTTATATGGTAGGTCTACAATCAGGGAATTAATTGTACCTCTAATCTTATTAAATAAAATAGAGGTACAATAAATTCAAACGTAGTTTTCTAATTTATATATGATGTGACACTATTGTGCTATGTTAATAAGTTTCAGGAATATTGAACTTCCTTGAACAAAACAATATTCAGTGTGTTTGCCTCTAGAGATGTTGGCTGCTTTCTTTCTGTTTTATATTTACTTAAGTCTGACCAGTCTTCTTAATTGCGGAAAGTAGGGGACTAATTGTTTATTAAATTAATCTGTAATTATGAGTTATATTTTTACTAATGTTTATTTAATAACTATTGCTTTCTGCAAGGTGTTATGTCGTGATTATAATGTATATTGGTGTTAGCGGCCGCAAGCGACTTCATCCATGTTAACATTAGAATTTTGAAAATCCCACAGGAACCTAATTTTTTTTAGGGTAAAAGTAATCATGTCCACAATTAAATGCATACAAAATGTTATCCAAATCCATTCAGTAGTTTTTGTGTGATTGAGTAACAAACATGTAGGCTCGTATTACAGAATGACAACTAAGTGTTGATCTTTACTTGAGTACAGTTAGAAAGGGATGTCGCTACGTGCTGTATATAGCGACCTCCCTTTCTATTTGTACTCAAGTAAAGATCAATCACTGAGAATCTTTCTATAATACGGACCTTATTTATCATTCTGTAATACAAGCCTAAAACTTTACATTTATAATATTAGTAGGATTTATAATTATGTATTAGTATAACAAATCATTTGTTTTATAGGTCACATGTGAATACAATTTTGTGGGTGGAGCTACTGTGCCACAGAGAGTACACACTGTTGTTGTATCTCTACAGCACTCTGAGAAGGTATATAATTTATTAATTATTGTCATATCATTCAGAAATTATATAAACTAGATCAGATGAGGCAAAATGTAGCTAGCTACTATCTATATTTTCATTATTGGTTACAATAACAAAATACTGATGAAATTGTAAACACACTTTTGCACAACAACATTGAATACCTTTTAATGACGTATGATGACGAATTACAGACATAAAATTGATAGTTGTTTGTATCATAACCACACATTGATACTATATCAATCTCTCATTCATACCTATTGCACTTTCAAAGAAGCTAAATTTACATAATTGCAAAACATAACATTACTGTAAACAAAATTGTATGGTGATTAACAAATATTTAGTTATCATTATTTGCTATTAAGTATGTGTTAATAATAAATAAAAATTTATATATCTGTTGTATTAAAATAATTTTTTAAATCTCACTAAAGCTAATTTTACATTGCAGATCACATTGGAAACTCTACGGGATGAAATCAAAGAGAAAGTGATCAAAGAAGTAATTCCAGCTCAGTACCTGGATGAAAAAACTGTGATACATATCAACCCTTGCGGACTATTTATTATTGGTGGCCCACAGGTAATTTAACAATTTTTATTTGATATTGTTACAGAAAGATAAGCTTATGCACAAAGTTTTTATAATTACACATTGCAAGAATGATTATATATATAATTTTTAAAGCATGTTAACAACTATAACAAGCAGCAACTGCTTGATGTTTAAATCTAAAGAATAATAAAAAATAACTAGGAAAAATTTCACGCGGACCAGGCAGCAGACGCGACTCGAATACGCACCCATCGCTATCCGGGCGAATGCACTGACCTTATTATTGATGATTGACCTTACATGATTATATATTCTTTATTTTTATGCACAATATTTTTAAAACACTACATTACTACTTACATTATAAAAGTACACTCATAAGTTTTCATTTGAATAATATGCCACTATAGCGGTGATGACAATTAAACGAAGTTGTATTCAGTCCATTACTTAGAAAAATATAAGTCATTTATTTTTCTTATCTGATAGATAATAAATTTATCATTACCCCTATCGTACCATTCCAGTCTGATGCGGGACTGACGGGGCGCAAGATCATCGTGGACACGTATGGCGGTTGGGGCGCGCACGGAGGCGGCGCTTTCTCCGGCAAGGACTTCACTAAAGTGGACCGTTCCGCCGCGTACGCCGCGCGCTGGGTAGCCAAATCACTGGTGCGCGCCGGCCTCTGCCGCCGCTGCATGGTGCAGGTGAGGGAGTCGCTACGTCACACCTAGTGGACCGTTCCGCCGCGCGCTGGGTAGCCAAATCACTGGTGCGCGCCGGCCTCTGCCGCCACTGCATGGTGCAGGTGAGGGAGTCGCTACGTCACACCTAGTGGACCGTTCCGCCGCGCGCTGGGTAGCCAAATCACTGGTGCGCGCCGGCCTCTGCCGCCGCTGCATGGTGCAGGTGAGGGAGTCGCTACGTCACACCTAGTGTACCGTTCCGCCGCGTACGCCGCGCACTGGGTAACCAAATCACTGGTGCGCGCCGGCCTCTGTCGCCGCTGCATGGTGCAGGGTAGGGGGTTACTACGTCACACCATTTGACATATTTTACGCCATGTATCTTAAAGATATTTCTCCATAAAGGTATAGGAATAGAGTAGGGGAGATATAGACTCTACTACAAGCTTTCTCTCTCAATCGCGCATACGCATTGGCAACCGTAAGCGAGTTTGATGCTTGGACCAACTATTGGACAGACGACTACGCATGCGTCACAAGAGAGAGAGATAGCTAGCAGTCTCTCATCTTCTTTCTCTTTCTACTAGACGGACACTTTTAGAGCCGCCTTCCCCACTCTATTCTGATACCTCTATGTATTTTTCTGGCCCGATTTTTTTCGTGTTATTGAATCTAGGATTTTTAATATCATTGACTATGTGATGAACCAACAGTACCCGATGACTTTTTTTATTGCCTTCCAAGGCAGACGTGCGGATACGACGTAGTCATGCTGCTGCCTTTCGTGGAACACTATTTAAACTTCTCTCGAAGCCGACCATGTTATAGTACTGTACCCTTAGTACGAGTTTGAGCTCACAAAAAGAATCATAGTTTTCGTAATTGTAAATTATGTTTCTATGAACATTTTGGTGAAAAGTAACCTGAAGAAATGATTTAATGATAGAATTTAAACACTGTTTATTTGTATTGAAACGAAAACAATAAAATCAGTACCCTTAGTACGAGTGCGAGCTCACGAAAACTATCATAGTTTTCGTAAGTGTAAAACTCGTACTAAGGGTACTGGAAACGAACGAATTGACTCTTTGTTAACACACAGGTGTCATACGCCATCGGCGTGGCTGAGCCGCTGTCGATATCCGTGTTCGACTACGGTACGTCTCACAAGACGCAGCGGGAACTGCTATCCATAGTGCGACACAACTTCGACCTGCGCCCCGGCAAGATTGTCAAGTAAGTACTTTACTATCGAAATGTTATCTAGCGGCCGCCCGCGACTTCGAACGCGTGGAGTTAGTTATATGCACATACTTTTTGACCCCAAAAGGGTTCACTGCTCGTTCCCAGTTTGTGATAGCGTGATAACATGTAGCCTATATGTTGTCTCGACTTCTTAATAATATTCGTGCCAAATTTGAAGTAAATCCATGCAGTACTTTTTGAGTATATCCTGGACATACATACAGACAAACAGACAAAAATTCCAATAACTATATTTTTGGCTTCGGTATTGAATGTAGATCACAACCCAAGTATGCTTTTAAAAAAATATTCAATGTACAGTTTTGACTTGCATACCATTTTATTATGTATAGATTAATGATGTCAATTCTAGCATTATTCTCAAAACTTAAAACTAAATTTGACATCAGTGTCTCTCTCCTTTTCAATCTGTATAGAGAATGACAAGGATACATTGTTGTCAAATTTAGGTACGTCAAGGTTTAGAGAATTATGCCAAAATCAACACCAATATAAACATTTCATTGTATATATTGTATGACACGACAGTCAAAATGTGAGAGAACGTTGAATACACCCTATTATAGGTAGTGATATGATTTCATATAAATGTTGCTACTTCTGTTGAATGCTGCTGATTTTCTTGCGCCCATTCTTCTCATCAGCTAACAGGGGCCCAATTCTCGCGGCATAGATATTATATCACCTTCGATATATATCGAATGATCTGGCTTTTATCGAAGGAAAACCTTTTTGCCCTATTCTCACCATGTCGCAATAGACATTTATCTACGGATGATCAGTAGACATACATCGACTGGTAAAGAGCCTTCGATATATAAATATCTATGGATCTTGGCATGTCAATCTTGTTATTTCCACTTTTTTTACCTATTATTTATTGTGTTGTCGTGTGTCTTTGCCAATTATTGTTACCACAAGATGTTGTTAACTGCCTTCATAAATAATTAGTAAATAAAGAAGTAGGTAAACAATGGTGTCGATTCTGGCGTGATTCTCTAAACTTAAAACTAAATTTAACATCAGTCTCTCTTTTTCATTCTGTATAGGGAATGACAAGGAAACACTGTTGTCAAGTTTAAGTTTAGATTTAGAGAATCGTGCCAGAATCGACACCAGTTTATATTAACGATGGATGAGTTAGTGAGAGATGAGAGAAGTGAGGAGCTCGATGGCGCAAGTGGTTAGCGCATTCGGCTGCGATCGTTGAAGTTAAGCAACTTTCGCAGTGGTCGGTTATTGGATGAGTGACCAAAAATTTACTATCTCGAGCTCCTCCGTGCTTCGGAAGGCACGTTAAGCCGTTGGTCCCGGCTGCATCTGCAGTCGTTAGCACCCACCAATCCGCACTGGGCCCGCGTGGTGGGTCAAGGCCCAATCTCCCTATTCCATCCATAGGGAAGGCCTGAGCCCCAGCAGTGGGGACATTAATAGGCTGATGATGATGATGAGTTGATTCATGTTTTCGTCAATGATTTAATAAATGACGTGATTGCTGCTGCTGTGCTAAGGCGCCGCCGTTGTGAGAGCAACAGGGCCAATTTGAAATGAGGGACGCCGACTGAATTGAGGGACGCCGACTTCATAAAAAAATTAAGTTTAAACAAAAATTTGGTTAGTTATCTTTAAAGTTATGAATGACATTGGTATCGATTCTGACACGATTCTCTAAACTTAAAACTAAATTTAACTTCAGTCTCTCCGTTTCATTCTGTACGGAGAAAATGACAAGGATACACTGTTGTCAAATTTACGTTTAGGTTTAGAGAATCATGCCAGAATCGACACCATTTTCTTATTGACGATACGGAGTTTTGGCGGGATTTCTGCGAGTGCGGTTGGCATCTTATTTTAATTATTCAATTCGTTCATAGTGGATATTGTGAAATAAAATTGGTGTGATTTGGTGTTACAACCGTCTGCACAACTGAAGAACTAGTGGAATCTTTAAAATACACGCTATTCCGGTCAAGTGGACGCGAGAATTTTATTGTAGTGTTGACTACCTCACAGAAGCTTAGAGAAAAAGCCAACTCCATAAATTTCGTGCCAAACACTCCAAGAAACATTAGCAAGCGTCACACCGACGTTCGAATGTAAAAAAAGAAGATTAATATAACTAAAGACTAGGCTTTATGGGCATTGTTCCCTTTGCCTTCTCTGAAAAGGGAGAATCTTAAATAATATTGACGTTTCATTATACATAACGTTGAAATTATATACGCATACAATTTAGGTAAAGTTGAGATTTCTTATACTCAAAATGTATACTCATATTTAATATGAATGGAATTCATAAAATATCATTTTTTTGCTTGTAAAATTCTGCTCTAATTTATTATTATTTTATATAGACTATGATGTTAACTTAATCGAGAAAAACGGAACGCATTCGGCAGTGAAAGAATATCTACGATAGATTTAATATCATTGGAATATCGAAAATCCACGAGAATAGCATTTTTTACCATCAGTAGATATTTTCAATAGATATCCCTACTTTCCAGGGGCCCCAGGGGCCCAGTTCTCGCGGCGTAGATATTATATCGGCTTCCAGATAATATCGAAAGTAGGGATATCTATTGAAAATATCTACTGATGGTAAAAAATGCCATTCTCGTGGATTTTCGATATTCCAATGATATTATATCTATCGTAGATATTCTTTCACTGCCGAATGCGTTCCGTTTTTCTCGATTAAGTTAACATCATAGTCTATATAAAATAATAATAAATTAGAGCAGAATTTTACAAGCAAAAAAATGATATTTTATGAATTCCATTCATATTAAATATGAGTATACATTTTGAGTATAAGAAATCTCAACTTTACCTAAATTGTATGCGTATATAATTTCAACGTTATGTATAATGAAACGTCAATATTATTTAAGATTCTCCCTTTTCAGAGAAGGCAAAGGGAACAATGCCCATAAAGCCTAGTCTTTAGTTATATTAATCTTCTTTTTTTACATTCGAACGTCGGTGTGACGCATGCTAATGTTTCTTGGAGTGTTTGGCACGAAATTTATGGAGTTGGCTTTTTCTCTAAGCTTCTGTGAGGTAGTCAACACTACAATAAAGTTCTCGCGTCCACTTGACCGGAATAGCGTATATTTTAAAGATTCCACTAATTCTTCAGTTGCGCAGACGGTTGTAACACCAAATCACACCAATTTTATTTCACAATATCCACTATGAACGAATTTTATAATAATTAAAATAAGATGCCAACCGCACTCGCAGAAATCCCGCCAAAACTCCGTATCGTCAATAAGAAAATGGTGTCGATTCTGGCATGATTCTCTAAACCTAAACGTAAATTTGACAACAGTGTATCCTTGTCATTTTCTCCGTACAGAATGAAAAGGAGAGACTGAAGTTAAATTTAGTTTTAAGGTTAGAGAATCGTGTCAGAATCGATACCAATGTCATTCATAACTTTAAAGATAACTAACCAAATTTTTGTTTAAACGTAATTTTTTTATGAAGTCGGCGTCCCTCATTTCAAATGGGCCCTCTTGCTCTCACAACGGCGGCGCTTTAGCACAGCAGCAGCAATCACGTCATTTATTAAATCATTGACGAAAACATGAATCAACTCATCCATCGTTAATATAAACTGGTGTCGATTCTGGCACGATTCTCTAAATCTAAACTTTAACTTGACAACAGTGTTTCCTTGTCATTCTCTATACAGAATGAAAAAGAGACTGATGTTGTTTAGAGAATCACGCCAGGGGCCCAATTCTCGCGGCATAGATATTATATCACCTTCGATATATATCGAATGATCTGGCTTTTATCGAAGGAAAACCTTTTTGCCCTATTCTCACCATGTCGCAATAGATATTTATCTACCGATGATCAGTAGACATACATCGACTAGTAAAGAGCCTTCGATATATAAATATCTATGGATCTTGGCATGTCAATCTTGTTATTTCAACTTTTTTTACCTATTATTTATTGTGTTGTCGTGTGTCATTGCCAATTATTGTTACCTCAAGATGTTGTTAACTGCCTTCATAATAAATTAGTAAATAAAGAAATAGGTAAACAATGGTGTCGATTCTGGCGTGATTCTCTAAACTTAAAACTAAATTTAACATCAGTCTCTCTTTTTCATTCTGTATAGAGAATGACAAAGAAACACTGTTGTCAAGTTTAAGTTTAGATTTAGAGAAACGTGCCAGAATCGACACCAGTTTATATTAACGATGGATGAGTTGATTCATGTTTTCGTCAATGATTTAATAAATGACGTGATTGCTGCTGCTGTGCTAAGGCGCCGCCGTTGTGAGAGCAAGAGGGCCCATTTGAAATGAGGGACGCCGACTTCATAAAAAAATTACGTTTAAACAAAAATTTGGTTAGAAATCTATAAAGTTATGAATGACATTGGTATCGATTCTGACACGATTCTCTAAACTTAAAACTAAATTTAACATCAGTCTCTCCTTTTCATTCTGTATGGAGAATGACAAGGATACACTGTTGTCAAATTTACGTTTAGGTTTAGAGAATCATGCCAGAATCGACACTATTTTCTTATTGACGATACGAAGTTTTTGGCGGGATTTCTGCGAGAGCGGTTGGCGTCTTATTTTAATTATTCTAAAATTCGTTCATAGTGGATATTGTGATATAAAATTGGTGTGATTTGGTGTTACAACCGTCTGCGCAACTGAAGAATTAGTGGAATCTTTAAAATATACGCTATTCCGGTCAAGTGGACGCGAGAACTTTATTGTAGTGTTGACTACCTCACAAAAGCTTAGAGTAAAAGCCAGCTCCATAAAGAAGGATGCCCATTTGTGACCTGTCAAATCTGTAAAAAAAAATTGCATGTATAATTATGTGACATACCTCAAAAAAAATGTAATTATTCGCTTATTACGAAATCAAAATATCAACAAAAACTACAATACAGTTTTTTCAAAAATAATTTTTGAAAATAATCATTATGT